AAACAGAAAACCTGAGCGTTGAAGACAGTATATAGAATTGTGCCACCAGGGTTGATTGGTGAATAAACTAGTATGTATATTAAGAAATGCAAGGCAATAGATAGATAGATAGATAGATAGATAGATAGATAGATAGAATGATAGATAGATAGATAGATAGATAGATAGATAGATAGATAGATAGATAGATAGATAGATAGATAGATAGATAGATAAATAAATAGAAGTTGCTTCTTTTTTCAGTTACGTGGGGACTAAACATCCCCAAACATTTCAATGCAATGCCCAGGACATCCAGTGATGCGGTCGAGGCCGGTTTCAAGAAGATCAGTAGCTGCAACAGTAAGACATGCTGTCATCCTTATCATCATCATCATCATCATCATCATCATCATCATCATCATCGTTGTCGTCGTCGTCGTCGTCGTCGTTGTTGTGGTCGTTGTTGTCACATAGGAGGACATCATATGGGGATAAAAAGATATGGATAAGAGAACGGGCAAACACACAGCCATAGTGGTATATCTATTGACACAGAAACAGATTTACACAGTTAGGAGGGACGGCGTGAGAGAGAGGGGGAGTGTGAGAGAGAGAGAGAGACAGAGAGAAAGAAGAGACAGAGAGAGAGAGAGAGAGACAGAGAGAGAGAGAGAGAGAGAGAGAGAGAGAGAGAAGGAGAATCTTTTAAAAAATCGTTTTACAGGACACGCCGCGTGGAGAGGTAATCGGTACGTCAAAGACAACGACTACGCAGTGGTGTTGCTCTATGACGTCAACGGCTACATTGCAGGCATCCAGACATCCGTGAGCATTATTATTTCTTACAAGTGCACTCTAAAACCAACGTGATGTTTAAAGATTTCCAACAAACGTTTTATTAGTTGATGGCATGGTCAGTGACAATAAGTCAGTATTCGGTTATTGGAAAATAGGTGGAAAATAAAAATTAAGTCTGAAAAAAAAAAAGAATTCCTGATTTCATGTCATTACCCCAATCGTTTTTCACAGAAATTATGCGAAATCCGGTAAATAACAAGTGAAATGTGTCCTAGAATTAAGCTTGTGTTGTCAGTTATCAGCAATAGGCTTCTTTTATTTCAAACGGAGTTGGCAGGATACTTCAATTACCACTTACGCACACACACGCACACACACACA